TATGCAAGGAAGCTGTCCCAGCTTTGATTGATGCTTGGCGATCGACAAAGATGAACGCTGCACTGGCTGCTGCTCAAGAACGCTCAGAACGGGCCTTGGACAATTGGCGTCGATTAGTTCGTGGTCTTTTTCTCTGGCACCGGATTAAGGCTCAATTCGCTCTGGCACCTTTGCATTCTGATGGTCCCGAAGCCCCTCAGTTTAAACCGGCTCGAAAGCGACAAACACGCAAATCTAAGCAGCTTGTGCATTCGAAATCCACTTCTAAACCAGATTCTTCTACTCTGGATTCTAAAGGTCTTGACCCAGTGACAGTGGGTAGCTTGGTAATGAATAAACCCCTTTCTCAAGATGGAGGCTGGCAGCGACTCGGATCTGGTGAAATCAGTCAGCAACTCCCTATCTTCCCGGTTGCTTTGAAGGCGCCCTTCGCCTCTTCAACTAATTCGAAGAGACAACTCAGATGTCAGAAAGCAAAACCAGCTCTTACTAAGCAATTCAAGAAGTCCAGGAGGCGCAAAAGACGTGCCAACACCACTAGCGAAGAAGAAGAAAGTGAACCTACACCGGTCACAAGTGATAGCGAAAAGAAAACAGAATCCAGTACGGAGGATTCTGATGAATAAGTAAGCTTTCCGAAAATAATGCCTTGTATCCACATTTGTTGCATTTGCTGCGGATGTCTGGCGTTGCGTTTGTAGTGTATCTGTCTTTCTCACACATCTAAATCTAGACTGTGTGCTAAACAGATCATAGTAAAATAATCTTTATAAAAAGCGAAAGTTCCACGATTTGTTTGTGGGTATAATACCGCAATCCGTTGGGGACCGGTGTCCATTTCATTAGATCATTCGCCTTTTGGAGGGGCCAAACATTCAAGGTGGCCAGTACACCTCGATGCACAATCGAGCTGGTGACCATCGCCACAGCCAGGAAGTTGGTATGAGTGTAGTTTGTATGCCTCTTCTTGGATGGTTTGGAATCAGGGCTTTTAGCCAACTCCCGTTAGTAAGCTGCCAGTAGTTTACTGACCCGGTTGTAACCTCGGATGTTGACTTTTCTTCCTCTCGTTTTGGTAGGAAAGTACTTCCGCCACTTGAAGGCAGTGAGTAGGGCTTTGTGTAACAAACAGTGTTCGCTCATCAGTAAGGCAGCAACCCTAGCGCCAGTCTGATTACACGCGCGCTAAATGCTGAATCACTCGTCGAGCACAAAGTAAACCATACAAATAAGGTTGAGTCTGTAGAAAAGAATGATGGGGACCAATGGCGAACTTTTTCATGTCTGTATCTTGCATACAAAACGCGTAGAAAAAGGACGTCGAGAACGTTTGCTTGAATCGCATTAAAACGGATTAGTCATTTCCGGTGAAAAATTTCAGTGCATTTCAACCTACTGTGCAAGTTCTCGTTTCACATTAGAATAGGAAGAGAAATTAATTAATAAATGAGGGTTCAATTTCGCAAATAAATTCTTCCAATTTCGGACATCCCACCGACGAAAGGGGGTTTTCATTGTTGATCCTAACTGGGACTTCTGAAACTTCACTTGGATTTACATTATGACCGGCAAGTCAATGGTACAAAATTCCACATCGAAGCATGACTGCAACACTCCGGTTGGTGTTTCTTGATCCAAATACGCACCATTGTTGTGAAACAATTCCTTGAACTAATTTGTACACCGTCATGTTCTTTGTTCTTTCATTGGTTATTTGTTCGTTCCTTGAGTTGACCTTGCTCCGCACATCCAGTGAGACAACCAAGCTATAGATAGGATGTCAGTTTATCGACTGGTACCAATCCAGGGCGGTTGGTGAGTTCTCAAGGAAACACGAATTCTGCTGGCAAAATCAAAAGATGGAAAACCTCACTAATTCCGTTTATCCCATGTGCATCTGAAGGATACATTTCGTTATGTTGTCTGCTGGTTTTTCCATCGTTACGCGATCTGTTCCTCGTTCGTTTCTAATCAGTGCATAGTAATTCTCAACCTACACTGTGTTGCGTGTGGGGTTCGTTTTATTCCAATACAATTTTGGTGAAAGTGACGCCACATGGCAGATTGAAGTGATAAAAAATGAGACTACCGTAGTAGTAAACATATCAACAAAGCTGAGTAATAGCGTACTAGTCTTTGGCACACTTTTGTTGTAGGCAGTTTCTCACAACCTGACAAGTGATGTAACTGGTTTCGCATTTTGTTACGCGAAAGCCATCCCGACATGTTTAACCATCACGGTTTGAAGTTATGAAGATCAATCTTTTTGTAGCATATGTTCTACATATGCCAGTAAATCTGACTTCATTGTCGCGCACTGGATGATCGCGATAATTGCTGTGATGGGATTATATTTTTTTATCCAACTCAGAGTTAACAGCCAGTCCCGATATGCGCATTAGACTACTCAGTCAGCTTTGGCATCTAATCTGCTTTTCGGATATTCACATATTTGTTCAAATTGTTGTTTGGCAGATTTGTCACACATTTGTTTGTTCCAATTGGGCCGTATCAGAGATAGCAACGAACACAACAAAAAATATAAACTTTCACTCTATGAATGTTCGGAACCACCTGATGCTTTTGATGGTGACAGTTCTCGTTTGGCCATCCGATTGATATCGTGTTTAACGAGCCCTTTTTGTCTGTTCTGCCAATGCCTTTGACTTTTGGAAGGATCACCGTACCATCACCAATGGGAAGGGGTTTTACATAATCATGATTGAACTGAACCCTGCACGCACTGATGAATGCGTTTGCTTTGTGTTGGGTTTCGTTAGGTGGAATGAAATTCCTCCTGTGTGTACAAATTTTGGACCTCGAGTTCACCAAACTCAGTCGCCTTGGAATTATTACAACGTCCTCGCGAGGAGCCGCTGGTTAAGATAGTGTTAAAGGTGGTTTACGAACATGTGTTTGCACTATTCTAGCCTGGTATTTTGACCATTCGGAACTCAGTAGCCTCGCTCTGTGCTCGTCAGCTAGGTTTATTTGCACCTAGTTAACTTCCGTTTTTACTGCTTTTCAGGGGATTCATTGCAACAGTACCCTACTCCTGTTTCCCGGTCTTCATGCGCGCTACCTCAGGTGGACCTTTACAAACCACTTGCATTTCTCGACCGCAATTTTTTCCAGCATTTCTCTTCTACCAAATTTTATTGCTGAGCAAATTCAGAGTGTATTTTTCTCTCAAATTCAAGAGGCCTTTTTCATTTAAATCTATATTGTTCATAACTTATCCGTTATTATTATCATCATCATTTGTATTATCTACACTTTTATATTTTGACCCACTGTATTGTTGTGTAATAGAAGACGTACTGGATTCCGACACCGTGTTCTCCATCGACATGCATTCTCCGCATGGTGTGTTTTGATTGTATGAAGATGTTGATTCACTGTATAACAGCTAACAGTCTTGGCAGGTCATTTCACCACTACTTAATCCATGGGATCAAAAGCGTTTTCGGAGTCCGAAATCATTCCAAAGCAGGATTTAAACATGTGACAACGGCGAGACGTTTCAATCAAATTGAAAAGTCGCGCTCGTTTCTCCACTGTATGGTCCGTTCTGCTTTACGGTTGTGAAACCTCCAATCTGCGGGTAGATGACCTCTGTCGAGTAGTGGTTTTCAACANCCGGTGCTTGCGAAGTCTGAGATGGAGTGAGCGGGTTAGCAACCTAAGAGTGAGTCGTCGGGTTTTGGGGATGCATCGAACACAAACTCTCTAGCGAATTCAGCCCAATAGGCTCCGTCGGTTAGGACACGTTTTATTGAAATGACCGTCTCTTACAGCAGCGCGCCTTATTCTCAGTGGCTGTTGCAGGCCGGAGAGAGCCATATGGGGGCCAGCAGATGACGTGGAAACTAGCAGAGCGATTAGGTGTAGGAGGTGTCTCGTCTTCCAGGTTATGGTCAAAGAGATTCTGTAACCGCATAGCTGTAGACACTAAAGGTCATGGCAGCAAACCGATCCTGCTGTCACTTTCTATCAAACCGGAATGTTTGTAGTGGTGTGTATGCACAGTTGCACTGTGTACTCTGTGCGGATAATAGAGGTTCGCTTTCTCTTCCCGTCCCTAAAAATGGTCCCAACCCCTATCCTCCCTACACAGTCTCACCTACGTTGTATGCATTATGAGCTTGGCAGCTGTCAGTGAAGTTCGCTTCAATGTAATACGCTCTAAGATGGCGATGAAGATTTCAAGGATTCATTGCGCTGTAGAATGTTACGCTGAGTCGGCCGTTTGGCTTAATTTACTTAGGACGCTTATTTTTCAGTTATCGTGTTCCCAAATGGTCGAACGACCACAACCGCTACCTTCGTCTCGGTATCAGACTCGAATCACTCCGGGGGCTGTAGTATGTTCGGAGTGTGAACTTTCCGGTGAAGTTACAATCGGTGCGAACACGATTATTCATCCAAAGGCTCGAATTCTCGCGGAGGCTGGTGCAATTCAGATTGGAGCATTCAATTTAATAGAGGAGCAAGTGGAAATCATCAATCGTGTGCCGGATTCCGTTCTGAAAATAGGGGACCATAATGTGTTCGAAGTGAGTCCCAAGTCAGCTCTGATATAACCGCATCCGTGTTATTCTATCACAATAACGGTCAACCGTCGTCAACTAAAAAAATAAGTTTGAATTTTTTACAGTGGTTGACGAATGGCTCCCTTTTCCTCTTTGCTGAAACTCTTCAAGAGTGCGTGCATTTTCGTGTCCCTTCGGGTAGAGATACAAAACTTTCATTCCCAGGCTACACATAAGGTCGACGCTGAACGACTGCAGTGCGTGGTCATCTTTATTGGTTCATTATTTACTCGATTTCTCATTACCTGACATCTGCATCTGTTTTGACTTTCACCTCATATCGCTATCGCCGTATGGGGCAGAAAGGAGAAGAGTCAAAACACAAATCGTGTGGCCCGGTGGTAACGTCACCAAATTATCACCCCGGGGATGCGTGTTTGAATCCCACCACCTCGCATGACATTCATCATTGTGTTGAATGGCAGCCCTTTGATTGGCCGCTTCCTCCTTCCTGAACATTATATCTTTGTATATTCAATGAAGGGAAGGAAAGAGAAAAAAGATAGAATGATAACGTTTATTAGACCGCATTGCTTATTCAAAGGAGTTGCACACGATACAGTACAATAGCATCCACGAGATCTGACTCTGCTGTGAACTGTATTCCATTACAGTTTTCTTGAAAATCTCAACATATTTTACATCAGAAATCGTCTTTCCCACGGAGCCAGTCGTAGTGAAGTTTCATTGCAGTAATTCAACTTTTTGCTACAAAACACAGATTGTGATGGAACGTGGTACAAAGAGAGCCCCGGCTAACGAGCGAATCAAGAATAGGGCCCATCCAACCAGATGCGCAGAAGTAGCGGCTGGAAGTACTTCGAGAGACAATGTCGACTACACCTCGAAACGAACGAATCGACAATTGCAGCCCGACGGACAATCCGCATCTAGCCAGCCAGAAATCCACCGAATACCACAACGTTGGAGCTGTCGATCAACGTATCTCGCGTTACGATCGGGTCAAACCAGTCGGAACGGCACGCGGAAGAAGAGGAAGCGTACGTGCCAAGTGCAGTTCAGTTCAGTTAAGTTTTTACAACCATTAACCATGAACTTTCGTGCGCCGGTTTCTTTGCTGTCTTTTGGTTGCCCATTTGGATAAAAGAGCAAAATGAAGATTAAAATGTCGAAGCAAATTCAAGCGGAAGGTGGGGAATTCATATAGGGTGGTGTTGGGAGTGGATGCACGTGCGCCACTGTTTGCGACACCCAGCGACATCACTCAGTGTAGCTAACCATCGGTTACGATCATCCCGAGGTCCCCAGCCACGGAGCCCAACGGGGCCTATGTGACCTAGTCTCCTGGTTAGGGTTTTCATACCCTCATGCCAGGTCTCAGTTTAACCACCCTTTATCTTTTTCCAATCGCTACCAGCCTTGGCAAACATCGTTCGCCGCGGCAACCTATCTGGCGACATACGTAACACATGTCCCAACCAGCGTAATCTATGGAGGTCGATCACTTAATCCAGTGGACGACCGCGACTGCCTAAAACTGTACCCCTAACCTCAGCATTGCTAGTCCGGTTACCCCACCAGATTCGTGCAATGCTACATGGACCTTGGTGTTCGAACACAGACAATCTATATTTATCCTGTTCCCTTGGTGGCCAAGTCTCTGCTACGTATAGCAGGACTGGCCGAACTGTCGCGGCATACACTCGACTCTTCACAGACAACCGGATGTCGCGATGGCGCCACAGATGTCTCAAGTTGACAGATGCCAATTGAACCTTCTGTATGCGGGTAGACACTTCATTCGTGATGCGTAAACCGGGTGAGATGTAGCTGCCCAAATAACAAAACTTATCCACCTGCTCTATTACTTCCCCAGTTAGAGTGAGGCTGGGTGCTGGACCAGCCCAGTCTTGTAGTAACATTTTACACTTTGAAGGTGCAAAATGCATACCGAACATGGCAACACTAGCGCTCAAACTATCNATGACAACACTAGCACTCAAACTATCCAGAAAAGCTTGCAACTTACCTGGATCTTCACTTAGTAGCACGATGTCGTCTGCGTAATCTAGATCAGACAGTCTGCCTCCTGGGAGTTAATCGATGCCGCTATCATCGAACGAGGCTAGGACTGTTTCAAGAATTAAATGTATGACAAAGTTAGATAGAAACGGAGAGAGAGGGCAACCTTGTCGAACACCACTTTCCGTGGTGAACTCGGGTGAAAACGTGCCGTAAGCTCGCATTCGGCTTCGCCTATGAGTGTAGAGGTATTGTAATATTGAAATAAACTTCTCGGGCACACCTTTCAGAGGAGGGCAGCGCCAGAGTTTAGAGCGGTCGACTGCGTCGAAAGCCGCTTTCAGATCTAGGAAGACAGAGATGGTGGGTCTACGAAAAGAATGCCGGTGCTCCAGAATTCGGGCGCAGAGTGAAGATGTGGTCAATACAGCCTCGACCGGGCCTAAAACCAGCCTGGTTCTCACGCGTGCACCGTTCACGTGCGGCAGACAATCGGCGGAGTATAATGCCAGCGAGAAGTTTAGAGGCAATGTTGATTAAACTAATTCCTCTATGATTTTCACAAGAGAATCTATCACCTTTCTTGTAAATCGGTATGATCACCGATTCACACCATTCAGCTGGAACCTCTTCCCTTTCATATACTGAACCCAGGAGTTTTGTCAACTCCAAGACTAACACTGAGCCTCCATCCTTAAACGCAGATGGGAACAGCCCATCTGGGCCAGAGGCCTTATGCCTTTTGAGATAGCTTATTACCCGAGAAACCTCTATTTCAGATGGAGGACTAGCATTAGCTGGGAGTATTTGTCTAGTCGAGGCGGAGAGTGAAAGATAGGATGTCGATGGGGGCCAGTTGAACTGAGCCTTGAAGTGTTCAGCCCAACGGTCAGGACGGCGTTGCTGATCGTGAATCAGTGTGCCATCGGATTCCTTAATTACCTCACTTACGTCTATTTTCCTAGGGCCCGTATTCCTAATTAGATGGAAAAAGTTACGACTGTTACCAATAGCCGCATCTTTCTCCATCTCTTTACACTTTTCTACCCACCACTTCTCGCGGTCATTCCTCAGACTCTTGATGAGTTGGCGTGCAAGGGATTTGCGTGGCATCGATTCCCTCCAGCGGTAACTGATAGCGATGTGGTCGATTCGGGTCCAGCGCTGTGACGGAGTTGGCGGTCCGCATGTAAGACGGTGACGTTTCTTGTGCGAGAAGTTCGTGCTTGACAGAAACCGTCCGTGGTCAGCACAAAGTTGTTTTATTCGTTGTCTGTTGTCAGTCCTGTTGTCTGGGATTGGATGCGAACCGCCAAGTAACCTCTCTGATTGGTCCAGCGATCCCACTTGAGCATTGAGTTCTCCAGCGACCACCACAATTTTCGTTGATCGAGCACTTTGGAGCAGTAGAGAGTGGTCCTTGTAGAATTGATCCTTCATTTCTGGTGAACTGCAATCTGTCGGTGCATACGCGGATACGACGAATAAGCATCGACGCTTCGTTCTGTAGCTCTTGACGCGTACTGAACCATCCTGACTTTCGGCGCAAAGTCGGCTGTTAACCGGGATCCAATCGAGAAGTGAACGCTCGGCCGATGTATGCGTTCTATTATATACAATCAATTCTCAAGCGCGCGGCAGAATGATGTAGCCTTATTCTGTTTGTCAATCCTTGTTGATTTTGGTCCGTACTTGACACGTACGTTTCCTCTTCTTCCGCGTGCCGTTCCGACTGGTTTGACCCGATCGTAACGCAAGATACGTTGATCGACAGCTCCAACGTTGTGGTATTCGGTGGATTTCTGGCTGGCTAGATGCGGATTGTCCGTCGGGCTGCAATTGTCGATTCGTTCGTTTCGAGGTGTAGTCGACATTGTCTCTCGAAGTACTTCCAGCCGCTACTTCTGCGCATCTGGTTGGATGGGCCCTATTCTTGATTCGCTCGTTAGCCGGGGCTCTCTTTGTACCACCTTTCATCACAGAATGATATATTTACTTCCTTTCTTGCCGTTGAAAATCTTATGAGTTCCACGTTTTCCTATAATCTCGTCATTATTGCTTTGAGCTCACAAATATCCATCTTGCTCACTGTTACTTTATCTCTTATCTCGTTATTCTTATGAACATCACGGTAAAACCTGCTGCGGAAACTATAACACGAGTCCAGCTAGTACAGTAGCACCACTAACGCGGTTCTTTTTCCCATCTAGTAGTGTCAACTATGACTCTCTCCGCGTGTCGCATCATCATTCCTTTTCAATTTGGTGTATTCTCCATTTTTTGTTGATTCGTGTCATTGATGGCTTCACAGGATACAACGATCCACATTGAGTGACGCGCAATAACTCGGAAGACGGTTTCTGTCAACCAATGGGTTTCTTCTACAAAAGTGTTACTAAAATACATACTAGTGTAAAATATGCAAACCTCAAACTGTGGCACTGTTCGGTCTGAACATTGGGCTGTGTACCTCGGGATGATCGTAACCGATGGTTAGAGACACCGAGTGATATGGCTGGGTGTCGCAAACAGTGACGTTCGTGCATCTTCTCAATCTCTTTGCAACCTTAGACCACTGAACCTCTCCATTTTCTACTCTACTCCACTTTGAACTTTCCTTTCTTCTCCTATTCTTCATCCAAATGGGCAGCCAAAAGACAGCAAGCAAAACCGGCGCACGAATATGCGTGGTTAATGGTTGTACAAACTCAACTGAACTGTCTATTCGAATTCATTTCTGGTTGTATCCTTTTCTTATTACGTAACCATGTCTAACTCTTTTTGCACTCCGGCTAATCGTTTTCCATTACGTGACTGTTTCTATGCTAACATTCGCCTCCTCCTCTTTCATCCATACCCAAATGACTTCGGTGATGACTCAACCACCCAGTGTCTTCTGCTTGACCCCATGTAATTGTGTAAATGTCCATATATGGTATTCTTATGATAAAATTTGACCCATTTAATGTGCGTAGACAGGTGATTGAAAGCACGCGAAATTGATGGCCAATATCAATTCTGCTCATTTTGTGTTACTTGTTTTATTCAAGTGGATCAAAGGGAAAGGATGTTTCCGAGACAACGTAATAGAGCAAACATACGAATAGTGCCAGCGTATGTGTAAACGGCGTGGCGAACAGTCATAGGCACGGATCAATGAGGGGATGAAATCAACAATACATGGTCAAAGGAGGACAATGGACAATAGGATAGTGGTGCTGGGTGTGTGTATGTGAAGAGTGTCAATATGAGGCAGAATTTATTCTACAGTCATATTTGCGTTCAATTCTCACCAGTGAAATTATTTTGCGGACCTGATGTGAAAGGTCATCAGTTTATCTGTTCCACTAAACAGCGGCAATTTGTTTTCGTTGTAGATCACTTGCCAGTGCAGTGCTGCACGTAATTTCTTTTGGTCTTCTCATTTAGGTTGGCGCGCACTGTGAGGCGGCTGAAATCGGGGACAACAATGTATTCGAGGCAAAAAGTATGGTTGGGCCTCAGGTTCGTATAACCAACGGATGTGTGATCGGGGCAATGTGCTCTCTAACCTCAAACGAGACTCTGCCTGAGTGTACGGTCATTTACGGAGATGAGGTATGTGGTAGTTTGGTGTCTTCTTTGATTCGTTTTGGCATTCACGAATGTATCTGGTTTTTCTTTTTGTTCTCCGAGTTGTACAACAGTAAGTGAAATTCATACCGCAAAGAATCCAACTTTCCTACATATGTAGGTCACAGACGCACACTTTGAAAGACTGTTTACCGACCTCATCGTCATTCCTCTACCGCACTATGAACGTTTTTGGGATGAAAGAAGAATATAATTTGAGCCTAAATTGCCACAGGAACATTGTGAATCATACGATGTTCATCGAGTCAACGAGCGAAAATGATTTCGCCTACATGTAAACATCTGTTTTATTCTCGAAGATTTCGTTCTCTTGTAAAATAGCTCCTTCCAAATTTAAATTGTGTTATTTTTAAAATCAGTTTTTTTACTTTGTGTTTTGTGTTCTTGTATGGAATTCTGTGGAGGCTGAATTTTCCGACCACGTTAACATAGTCAGTAGTAAATGGCAGCCAAGGATTGGTGATCCAATCGGTCACACCTGTCAACTGCCTTCATTCGAATGTGCTGAGTATAGACAAACGAGGCCATAGTTGACTTACTTTTTTAATTTCACTGCAACGATGTGGCAAACCAGCTTGCTTCGAATGCCTCATCTACGGTCCAATTCCAAACCACGGAACAATATGGGAAATGAGTATCGAAAATTTGTTACATGGTGTTACCTAATGGAAGCCCCTTCAAGCGAACCTGTGGAAAATTTCAAGCATTTTGACCGAAAGACCAAAACATCAGCTGATCTGATCACCGTCCAATCCAGAAGCCAGTGGAAGAGCAGTTGGGATTAAACTTGAATTAGCAGGCACTTTCACCAACTCCATTATCGAAGTGCTAGAAGATTAGACGGATAATTTATGGGCATCAGCATCAAATTCGTTGGAGGTTAAAGGAAGCAGTAATCTACCTGTGATATCTAGTAAACAATATTTAGTTGCG